CTGACTGGCGGCTATTTTGTTTTTATGAATGGGCTTCTATCTCTGACTTGCTTTGACTGATTATGTTTGACTGATCAATTTTTGATATTCATTATACATGATGTTATGGATATATACAATGTATTCAAAATGGCTGATTTTGTTTTAATTAATGCTGTTCCAGAGCAAGATCTCTCAATATGGATAAGTACTCATTTGACAATTAGATACAAATGTCAATCATTTTAATGTTAAACAATCATCATAATCATATTCCTGACACTGCTATATTACAGCTATATTACTATAAACAAAACTATATATCTTAAATTCGATAACTACCGGGAACTGTGCCATGCATGGCTTGTTTTTTTTAGAAATTAATAGTAAATTGTTCACATTCCTCTCTACACACTGATTGTTAATTCGAAAAACTTAAACCCTGTAGCAATATAGCCTGAATTCTTCTACTTTGTCTGAACCCAGCATGCAAAATGTAATGTATTATTTCAATGAACTTATTCAGCACTTATCAATCCTGTGGCTGTACAATCTGAATTCTTCTATGTGTTTGTGAATTCTTTTCTCAACAATGAACCCAGTATGCATAATAAACAATCGTTTCTGTTCTTCCACATTTGAACTCTCATCTTGTCTGTTGAGTGTGACAGTGAAATGATTTTCACCATTTATGGATTTCCACCTATATGTATATTTCTTCTCTGTATGAATAATTAATGAGTTTCTTCCAAGAGATAAGTGACTTGATGTGGTGAAACTATTTTCACATTGCTCACAGTAGTAAGGCTTCTCATTGGTATGTGTTCGTATATGCTGTTTGAGATGACTTGACGTGGTTAATCTCTTTTTACATTGCTCACAATGATAAGGCTTCTCATTGGTATGTGTTCGTATATGCTGTTTGAGATTCCATGATGTTGTATAACTCTTTTCACATTGCTCACAATGATAAGACTTCTCATTGGTATGTGTTCGTATATGATATTTGAGATGACTTGATGTGGTAAAACTCTTTTCACATTGTTCACAATGGTAGGGCTTCTCATTGGAATGTGTTCGTATATGCTGTTTGAGATTCCATGATGTTGTATAACTCTTTTCACATTGCTTACAATGATAAGGCTTCTCATTGGTGCGTGTTCGTATATGATATTTGAGATGACTTGATGTGGTAAAACTCTTTTCACATTGTTCACAATGGTAAGGCTTCTCATTGGTATGTGTTCGTATATGCTGTTTAAGATCACTTGATCTGGTATAACTTTTTTCACATTGCTCACAATGATAAGGCCTCTCATTGGTATGTGTTCGTATATGATATTTGAGACCATTTGATGAGGTAAAACTCTTTTCACATTGTTCACAATGGTACGGCTTCTCATTGGTATGTGTTCGTATATGATATTTGAGATGACTTGATGTTGTAAAACTCTTTTCACATTGCTCACAATGATAAGGCTTCACATTGTTATGTAATCGCATATGTCGTTTGAGACTCCTTGAATAGGTGAAAGTGTTCTTACATTTCTCACAACGAAAAGGCTTGTCATTGGTGTGTGTCTGCATATTCTGTTTGAAAATACTTGACTCAGTATCATTCTTCTTACTTTTTTCGCAAACCACCATCTTTTGCCTATTATTCAGCATAATACTGCTTGACAGTATAGCACAGATAAACTCTTCGTAAGTTTATATTCTGAGCTCACTGTCCTGGTAATACCACAACTGTGAAAAAAAATACTTTTATTAAAGCAGTATGAAGACTTGGTAGAAGTGTTTAACCGTTGTACATTTCCTAACCTCATGCATATGACAATCAAACATAGATATTTTGTTTATGTTGTTTGAACTTTGCTACCTCAGGAATTTTGGATATCGTTAGTACACTACACTGACTCCTGCATGATAGCTATACTATGGCTGCCTGTCAACCATGAAGGACATTTAGAATCAAATCATTGTGCGTTGTTTATACCACATTTTATACCACAAGTCGTCAAGTCAATGACATAATTAACCCCCAATAACACTCTTCATC